TCTTCGCTCATTAGTGTTCAAGGCCTCAAACCTGTTCCTGAGATGGTTCTGAAATTCAGGTGGGATAGACTCAAAGTCATATTTTGGTTGCTTTGGATTTGGTTTCATTTTCCTCAGCTTCAGCTTTGACTTGCATATGTGTAGTTGGTGGTCTGTTCCACAATCGGCTCCTGGCCTAGTTTTCACAGCATACAAGTCTTCCTTGTATGCGTTCCATAATGTGCTTTATATAGCCAACTGACATATTTTAGTACAATAATGTACCTTATGTACAAGACAAGGCATTTTTTAGCTAAACCACTACCATATTTGAGCAAGTGCAGTACTTTTTTGCTGAATCAATATTATGTAAAGCTGAGTGTTAACTGCAAGGTGCATAGTGTGATAAAGGTTAGTGTTTACTCTGCAAGTGTGACAGAATGCCACCTTTGTTCTCAGTACTCTAAGAACTTTGTGGGAAGGTTCCCTCACAGCTTGCCTCCTCCCTGCTATCTGTGTGGACCAGAATAAAGTGATAGTGATGTGTAAGATTCCCTGAGCTCTTCATGCTTTTGCTGCTCTGGTCACTGAATCTGAATGTCTGGCTTTGGCTGATGACCTTGGACATGACACTGTGAATAATATCCTATCACAACATTGTACTTCAGGATTGAACTTGAAATTGTCTTTTTTAACTGTGAATTCAACATCATTCTTCTGGTTTTTATCCCTATTACCTATGCTATAAAATATTAGCATTCTCTTTTGTATTCAATGGTTCCAAAAGCTCTCTTTCTCCTAAGTGCTGTGTCTTCCTTTCCTACTAATGTACTTTTAAGTCTTCTCCCCTGTAATCTTTAGCCATATGGTTAGTCCTCTACTTATGACATATTAGTTATGATCATTCTCAGATCATCACTTGTAGATGTTTAATTTTTTAAATTTATTAGTCAAAGCTCAGAGAGCTTTAGTAGCTTAGTAATAAGGAATTCTCAGCCCAAAAGCAGGCAGTTCAAATTTACCAGCTGCTCTGGGAGAGAAAGATGAGCAGTCTCCTACTGTGCAACTTACAATCTTTGGAAACCTGCTAGAAGTTCAGCTATGAGTTAGTTCTGACTTGATGGCACAATACAACAACAGTAGTCCAAACTCTGCTGTTTTTTTAAAAAGAATAATGTTGGTAGGAGCATAAAATGGTGCAACTACTATGGAAGGCTATATGGCGCTTTCTCAAAAAGTTGCAAATAGAAATACCATCTGACTTAGCAATTCCACTACTTGGAATATACCCTAAAGAAACCATAATTGCCACCCAAGCAGCTATGTGCACACCCATGTTTATTGCAGCTTTGCTCACAATAGCAAAGAGCTGGAAACAACCCAAGTTCCCATCAACAAACAGATGGACAGAGAAGCTGTGGTATATTTACACAATGGAATACTATGCGGCATTGAAAACCAAGGAACTCATGAAATATTACACAAAATGGGTGACTCTGGAGGACATTATGCTGAGTGAAATATCTCAGTCACAGAAGGACAAATATTGCATAGTACAACTGTTGTAAAACAGGACTGACAGGGATTGAGGGGAGACTGAGAGAGAGGGGATAAATAATATCTACTGCATTGAAAAAAAGGTGAGGAGAGAACTGTTTAAAAGGGATAAATGATTAGATATTATTGTTATGACAGGTGTCCAGATCGAAGGTAGCATAGTGGAGTGAAGTTGGGGGTGAGGGTTTGAATAACAATGAAATAATTTTTTCTTTTACCTTTCAAAATTAGCTTTTGCTAATTGAAGGGGAAGGGTGGGCAGGGAGAAAAGTACAACAATGAATAAATGGAAATCCAGAGTTTCTGTAAACTGTCATTAAAAGCAATTAATAAAAAAATAAGAGGAATAATAATGACACCTTTTTTGAAAAAATTGAAGTTTTTGACTTATGCCACAAATGGTTTACAGGGTAGTTGTTGAAGAAGAGCCTATCAGAGGTTAGGGACTACCTGTCTCAGGCCGTTTGATCTCTGTCTACAAATATCCAATTACATGATTGTTCTATTAAAGAGAATGACTTGTCTATATGTTTTGACACAATAATGATAACTTTCATTAATTTAAAAATTTTGTTTCATAGGATAAAGGATTTGTGAATTACTATGGACCTCAGAGATTTGGGAAGGGAAGGAAGGTTCATACAGATCAAATTGGATTGGCTTTGCTGAAGAGTGAAATGGTATGGATTTTCTAAATATGATCATACCTGTTTGTCAGTTAAACTTGTTCATAAGCCAGCTTTCTCAGCTTTCTCCTTTGCTTTCTCAATACCAGTACATAAACACATGTGTGTATACATATACATATATTTGATGCAGGCAAAGCCCCTGATGAAACTTCCTTCTTACTGACTCTCCATTCATAGCAAATCTCTTCATGGGGATTATGTTATATCTGGTATCATCAAAGAAATTGTTAGGATATCTGAGTTCTCATTGAAGGAATAACTACATCATATCTGCCAAACCAGAAAATCTTGGACAGTCATGTTGACACGAAACCATAGCCTTGACAATTATGTTGTTTGCTTAAAAGTATACTAAGTCAGGCACCGTATCTCCTTTGCTCAACATGCTGTCCCTAGTATGCAACAAATATTCTGTGTCTACCA